AATTATAACATCTCCTGCTGCTTTCCAGTGAGATTTTCCTTCATGATGTGTTATTTCACCAAGCGGCAGAAAGGGAGGAGGAGGGGAGTTGCTGCAAGCTCAGGGAAGGGAATAGGAAAGGATACTTTCTTCTTTTAAAGGAGGGATGTTATAATCCCCACATCTCTTCTTAACCTAACTGGTACTAACCCCTTAATAGTACAAAATAATGATGTATTGTCATGCTTGAAATATAAACTAAGCCATTCCCAGAACTTTTAAAACGTTGAGAAATCTAAAAAGGTCTGTAGGGGTCATTATCAATGCTTTAAAATGATTCTATAGAAGGGGTGTCAAGCTAACAGCCAACATGGCTGGTAGAGGGGTTGGGCAAGCAGGGACACAGCCTGCAAAGGAAATCTGGAGAATAGACCCCCATTGGCCACATCTGTCAGCAGCTGGGGCGGGGAGGGGGGGAAGTGACAGCTGTATTAACCCACAGCACTGCTGTTGCTGCACACACCACCATTTACCCACAACTGCATCTGGATCTGGGCAGCAAGTTGTCCTGCAGTCCAGATCTGGCCGGGGTGGTGGGGGAAGGAGGTGAGGTGAATTCGGTCTATAAACTGTATCCATTATGAGTAATTTCTTGAATTGTAAGAGTGTCCTACCTGTTAGTGAAACAAAGAGAGTGAAAGAGACCAGAATGAATTTCTGCAGGCTATCCATTGGAGCATTTTTTCCTCAGCCCTAGGATAAAAAAAGGCATCCAGCAGTCATTGTATAGTTAAAAAGGATCTGCATGACTTGAATTGCTAAGGAAAACAGTAACGTGTTGCTACTAGTTTTACAAGACACTGCAATATAAGAAACTGTCCCTGGATGTCTGTGCTACATGCATGTTAAGATTCAGTGTGCCAGGGAAGGCCTTTCAGCATTACAAAAATAATCATGCGTGGGTGGGAAGACTAATTCCTAGTTGACTGCAATTATATGTGTTCTCAGAGTACATCTTCCATGCTGCCGGTAGCCTGCTGGCAGACTAAAGAACTCTGTGTTCAATCACTTATTGTCATTTAAAATAATTGCACTGAGCCTGAGTAATTCTTTCCAATGCAAAGAGGAGAAAACTGCACCACTGCATAGGAATGCAGTGTGGGATGACACTTCCCACATAAGGCAACTACCCAACCTTATCTCTGCCCACACAGGGATGCCAAGAGGGGCTGGGAACACGTCAGAGTATTTTATTTTGCTTTTCAAAAAACAATGTTGTTTTCTTTCTAAGCACAAAATCATTACTCTTATTCAGCCAATTCAAGAAGATTTGCAGAATTGTGTGACATGTTACTGATCCTGAAATGAACAGCTACAGAAAGACCTACCACACAGGCTGCCTCTTCAGGTGGCTACATGTATGATCTGAATTAAAGAGGATGTGCTAAAATAACTTCTCTATATTTTACTCAAGTCCATAAAGTCAACTACATCTAAAGCCCCCAAATAAAATATCATATTATTGGCATTTGAAGGAGGCAAAGTAAAGGTCATATGGGAGCTTTATCGAAGAAGCATCACCCAACATCTGCATTCCAGTTTCCTAACATTGTTGGTTTGTTTGTATTATGCAATTCATATAAGAAATATTGGGGAATTAAGTCTTATATTCGAGGAAGAGTTAAGAGCAAAGGACACTTCTGTGGCCACAACATTTCCCTGTTAACAGTGTTTTACGTTTGCATAAATGTTATTTTGGGGCACCAAAGCCCTGAATATGGAAGGTGTACAAATGCCTAGCAAGCAGTGAACATTTTGGTTTACCCACAGCAACTATGTCCTTTATTTTTCATAGAAAAAGTAGAAGTACAGTAAAATTAAATGAGTAAAATTTGCATGGCTATTTTGTTCCTCTTGAACAAGTAGAGTACCTCACTGATTTACATTAAGGACCTGCCTTTAAAGATTCTGTATTAAATGCCAAAAAAAACAATTTTCTGATCATACAAGTGTGGAAATAGCACATGTCTGCTGGGATTAATTCATAGCATCTAAAAGGTTCAGACACCTTAAAGGAATGTATGGAATGTGGCACCTTTCCCCACACTAAATATTTGTGCTGTAGTTTAGTGTTTCAGGAAAGTACAAACCCTGAAACCAGGCCCTTCCATGTTGAACAAGAAAACAAACACAGAGACTTTTTCTGTTACTATAATTGTACTGTAAAAACTACGACAATCATTTTTTTAACAATTAAAAATCTTCAACAAGAGTTTTGGGTTGTGAGGTTGGGGGGGAAATTGTGTTTTGAAAGCATTCCATCTCACATTAGTGCATGCTTGCTCTCACATTTTGGGTAGTAAAAAGTCTGTTTTATGCAGCTGAAAAGGAGAGGTTCCAGTTTAGAATACAATAGAATTTCTCCAGGTTTGATTCTGGCCTTGCAAATTCTGATTATTTTACATGCAATGGTCTTTAGCATTAATAGATGTAATATAGGTAAATCCTCAGGCAGCAAATCTATATCTTTCACTTTCATAGGGACTTAGGAGCATAAAAACATAAGGCAATCATGCCATATATTTCCATTAATTTATTTGTACCCAGAGCTAAATGATTTTTTTTTTAATTGAGAGTAATAAATTTACCAAAAAATGCAGTTTGGGGAAATGATAATTTTGGTTTGGGGGGGGTGGGAATGAAGCTTTTCATTTCAAAACTGTTCTCATAGAACAGTTGGAAGGGTGAAACTGATTATATTTTAATGCATGGAGATAAAAAAATGATTAAATAATTTCAAATCTAAAACATTTCAAATTTGGATGAACAGAATGTTTCAGATTGACCTAAAATGATTTTTTTTAATGTTCAGCTATGGTGTTTCACTATTCTCATAGCTATATGGGCAACCCATACAAATAAAATATTTCATAGTTTTCAAAAGAATAAATTTAGCACTAAATTTGTGGGCTTTGTAGATGCTGAGACTGTTTCTCCACATGTTAAATTCAGAGGAAAAGGCTAGGGGTATCCTCACTCTGGTCGCCTGCATTTGTATATAAATTAAATCCAGCCTGATTCTCGGTTACCATGCATTTATTAACATCAGTGCAAATGCTCCCATTGCAGTTTTGTGGCATGTACACCCAGTTTGCACTCCATGTCTACTGAGGTAAATGCCTCTACAATGTCCAGAACAATGGAGGATCAAGGCTAAATGAATATTAATTAGGAATAAACATTAAACTTGAACGCAATTTTTTAAAGTTCTGTGTCAGCAACTGGTTGTAAGGTAATATTAGCTTATGAGATATCAGGATCTTCCTTGTTGCTCCATGAATAACAAATGAATACATGTAATGTGAAAATCACACAGGGAGCACTAGGGCTTCAGTCCTGCGCTGACCCCAGATGTGGAATGACCCTTGAGCATTTATAGAACCCTACTCTATAGTCACTGGGGCTCCCTGTGTTCTGTTCTATAGAGGATATTCTGTACACTAATCACCATAGTTTCCAAGTGGTTCCCAGGACACTTAAAGTGACTAGTATTTACAGACACTGACACGCTCATGCACTTCTTTTAACAGGCCGAGGGCCTAAGTTAAAGCTGACAAGTGAATGATAGAATAATATACTATCATACTTTCCAGGTCCCATATGTGACTGTGCATAGTGTGTGTGTATATATATATATATATTTATTTATTTATTTTAAAGCTATAGGTGGTAATACACCGGGAAAAACAAAACCCTTCCTCAGATGCCATTTCAAGCATAAGGAAGTGTGTTTTGAAACCAGTTTAGCTTGATTCCTATTATTTGATTTGATTTCCTTCGAAAAATCCATTATAAAATCAGTAATCCACATTAAAACAGTAAAAAGAGACTGAATCTTTTCTTACCTTTTTATTTGAAGATCGCCTTGTAAAAGTCTTAGATATGTTCCTAGGTTTTCTCACGCAAACAATCTTTTTTTCTGTGGCAGACAACTTTTCATCCACAGCTTCAGTTAACTCTCAAAAGTGTTAGCTTCTCTTTATGATTTGGCTGGAAGATCTTAAAAGTATTTGTATGTAATTTTTGCTTGCTGGGTCTTTCATGCCTGTGCCTTGCAGTGACATTGTATTTTATGATAAGATAAGGCTCCATTCCAAAACCAATGTGCAGAGTCCTTCATTAATAATTAACAAAAAGAATGAAGTAATCACCTATGGTGTAGAGAGAGGTAGTTAGCCATGTTAGTCTGCAGTCAGACAGGAAGCAGAATAGAAATGCAGCTTATAAACCAATAAGAGATGTATACGCTTTTGTGAGCAAGTGTTTACTTCATCACGTGTTATGATAAGACATGCGCAGAGCAGGTCTACGAGTATGAATGAATAAGCCCAAGCCTATGGTTTAGTTAGACAAACAAACTTTACATAAATCTGACCTGAGAAGTTAGGCTGGTGATAACACCGATTGCCATAACTAAGCATTGCTCAGTTACTCTGTCTAGTGTTGAAATTTCAGATCAGTTCAATGTGAAGACTAGCACTCATTGTAATTATTTTATAACACTGAAAATATTACATTTTAATACCTAAATTGTTCTCTTTACCGCACTGCTATAAATCCAGGATCAGCCTATTGATTTGTGGAGGTTTACATGATTTACATTGAGCTAACAGAGAATAGAAATTGGCGTTATTTAAAGAGCTGGTCAGGAAATATCATTTAAAACCTCCTTCCTCCCCCAACAGGATTATGCAGCTTTCAAAATCCAAAAAATTTAAAAAACAATTTTTGCTGAAATCTTCATTGTGTGTCAAGAAATACTCTCTAAAATATTTAGTTTCAGGTTGGGGTCACCCCAGTCAAAATATTATATTTTGGTTTGTTTGAATCAAATGAAACCATTTCAAGTCAATCTGCTTTTAATATGTGTTCACCTACACTGCCACAGTTCCTCCTGGCAGTTGTAGCTGGGTTGCCTAATGTCTCCATTCTGCTCTGTGGGTTGCACTTTCATGATGCATCATGATTTCTGATCTGGTTGAACTCAGGTGGTGCATGATGAGAGTCACATATTCAGTGCATCAAAGAGCAGGCCAGGTTCAGGTCTCTACAGGAATGTAGGCCTTTCTTAGTTGAATAGAGTAACATCTAACATAGGGGTAGGCAATTAATTGAGTCCACAGCCCACGTATGTAATTTTTCTGAGCTGTTGTGTGCCCCTCCCCCCACACACAACAATTTACCAAAACTACCTATGTAGGATGGGGCGGTGGGTGGGAAGCAATGGTCAGGAGTAGGCAGAGTGAGTAAGGCTGGGATCATGGAGCAGAGTCATGAGATGGTGACAGCCCAGAGCCAGGGCCCGGGGCAGAGCACCAATCCACTGCTCACACACCTCTGCAACAGGCACCAGTTCCATGGATAGGGGTGTGGAGGGAGTGGATTATGGCTCTGCCCCAGCCCTAGCCCCAGCTCTGGCCCTGGCCCCATGCTGTTGCCACCCAAGGTCCCAGACCCAGCCCTTCACACACCTGCCTGCCTGCCCATGGCCCTATCCTGTCTGCCTGCCCATTTGTGTCCCAGCTGTTCTCCATGGACAGTGTGGGGCCAGAGCTATGGCAGAGCCATGATCTGCTCCCTGCACACCCTCGTCCATGGAGCTGGCTCCTGTCACAGAGGTGTGTGGACAGTGGATCACAACTGTACCCCAGGCACCAGCCCCAGTCCCACACTGTTACCACCCCAAAATCCTGGGGTCTCCCCACCCTCAGTCACCTGTCTCACTCTTGGACACTGCTCACTGCTTACCCATGGCCCCATCCCAGCTGCCTGGCCAAGCACCCTGCCTTTGCAGTCCTGCCCCTCAGTGCTGGGTGTGGGATGGAGGGGCCAAGGTGCCCACACAGAGGAGTTGGGTCCAACAGCGGTAACCAGAAGGAACCACCGCCACCAGAGCTGCCAGGAAATTGAGTCTGGCTGCCATGCCGCCCCATCCCCATTGTGTGCCCAGAGGCGGTGGGACCAGCCACATATGCCACAGCCCAAGCTGTCTGGGTCAGGCAGGACTAAGGGACCCACTATGGGCCAGACAAAATCCCCTCAGTGAGCCAGATCCATCCCATGAGCCATCTTTTGCTCACCCCTGATTTAACACAAAGAGAAATGGAGGGCTAAATCCTGTTTTACCTTTAAGCGCCACGCAAGCTCAATTGTTGGCACTTATACAGAATTTAGATTCTGTTTGTACTTGCATAACTAAGCTAGTCCTTTCAAAACATGTTAAGCCTTCTAAACTTGGCCTGTCCGGGCTTTGGAGTAGAAGAGAATCATGTAGAAGATGTGAACAAGTCCCAAAAGTTTAGTCACAGAAAAAACACAACTAGCAAATATTTACCACTGGAGGGGGAAAGCCCTCATACCTTTTAGCCCTAAGTAGGACACTACCTAAACCCTTCTCTTTTTGAAGCTGACAAGCCAGGAGCATCAATGGTACAACCAGAACATGGGCAGTCAGGGCTTGACCCTAGAGGATCACAACCCAAGTGATCAGGTGAATAGACAAGATCAAGAAGTAAGTGTCACTACGCAAGAGAATCTGAGGCAGGTAGTTGTACAAAACTTGAGACATGAGTAATCATCAAACTAAAGCCAGGAGCCAGCTTTCAGAACACAGGGGTTTAACCTGCAGCCTGGAGCAAAAGGAGAAGGAGCCAGCAAGTGAGCCTAGAACAAAAGAGTCTGGACCAAAATTTGAAACAAGAAGTCAGCGGGCAAGAACTAGGAACCAACAAGATGAGAGCAAGAACAGGAATAGAGTGATGGTCAGGAAGCCAGGGAATTAGGAAAATGTGGGCAGGAACCAGGAAATTAAAGACAGGGCCACAGCAGTCTGGAGCTAGACAGAAACACTTGTCCTGTACAGTAACTTGCTGGGCAATGAAAGAGCTGATGCTTGAGGTATCCATGCCCATTGCAAGCAGCTGGTAGACAGGCCCATTCAGGTAACCAGAGCCAGCTGAGGGCAATTTAGCTATCCTGCTGCCCTGACTCCTAACAAGGAGAGAAAGATATTTGGGACCAGGAGGGAAAAACAAGCCAGAAGGAGGGTGAATCAGGATGGAAACAAATGTCATTCATTGCCTTTATGCCACCATAACAATTTCTATAGCAGCACAAAGACTAAGCAAACCAATGTCCATGACCTTTGTTGTGCCACATGCCCAAAATGTGTGGGCATGACAAAGGTGCCATTAATCTGTGCTGCTATTTAGCAGCAGTCTCCTGTTTGTGGGTAGACCTGAGCTGCTTGCCCTTCCTAACTGCCTCAGTCAGGTGCTTCAGGGGCTTGAGGGACTCCCCTCTAGCCCTGGGAGCACTTGCTCAGCTTTTTCTTACAGAGAGGCAACCTGGAGAATCTTATGGCACATCTCTGTCAGTGAGGAAATTTGAGGTTTCCCCACTTACAAACATGCCCCTGGGATCTCCGGGGTGCATGTCTGTAAGGAAGAAACTGGGCAGGCAGTTCCAGAGCTTGATGAGCCCAGTCCTGTGCAGGAATTCCTGGCATGCGCAGGATCCCTCAAGCCCTGGAAAAATACATCATCCATCATCCCATAGTATCAATGGGCAGGATAGCAGGCAAAGCGTGTTTCACACAATAAAGTGGATCAGCTGTGCCGGGACATATCCTAGCACAGTTGATCTGCATCATTTGGCAATTTCTGTTTCTAACCACAGTGAAATGGATACTGCCTTGGAAAAGAGAATACCTTACATTCAGGCCATGGCCTCTGCCCACCAGTAAAGCAGGAAAAATTTCATTGCATAAAAAGGATTATTAAATGCAAGGCACAGAAAAGCCATATGGAGGGATGGAGCAGAACCTAGGGCCTCCTCCCATCTAGAACAGTATCCAAACCATCCTCATTCTGGCCATGGATATTTTGCCTCCCTGGATGCCCAGCGGTCCAGTTTCAAAATGTGAGCTAGAGAAGATTCTCATCAATGCTTCTCTCCTGGCCTGGTGGTTGGAGCACTTTGCTAGGAAGTTGGATCTGTTGATTCAAAAACCGCCCTCTGGGTAAGCAGGAGCTAGAATTGGCTGTCTGCTCCCTGGTAAGTGTACACATTCAATTAATCTTTGGTTTCTCCCCAGCCTGAAGAAGCATGCATGTGCCCAAAAGCTTGCAATAAAAGACCCTTTTTTTGCTACTATTTAGTTGGTCTAATAAAAGATATTGCCTCTGATCCAAGAGTTTGGTGTATCTCTTTTTCCCCAGACCAGCACGGCTATAAAATTGATCCCTGAAACATGGAAGATATCATATTTGAGCCATTTGGAAATATAAAATTTGTTGCTAAACAAGAAAGAAGGATTTTTGGCCTCCCTAGCTGCCTCTAGCATTGAACACCTCCAGGGATGAAGACAACCTAATCTACACATCACAGAGCAACATTCTCACAAAAGGACTCTCAGACCCAGAGGAATACACTTCCAGCTTCTATCTCCCCTGTGCAAAATGAGGATTATTTTCTACCTAAGAAGACTTTTACATTCTTTGATTTCTCCTCAGCCTGAAGAAGGGTGCATGTGCCCAAAAGCATGCAACAAAAGATTGTTTTTTGCTACAATTGAGTTGGTCTAATAAAAGATATTGCCTCTGATCCAAGACCTTTGTGTATCACCTTCAAATAATGCATTTTATATAATGCACATGAAATCTAGTACCTTGGGGCATTTTTACAAGAACTGCTCTAATTAAAGCGTCACTGAGTCTCACATATCAGTGTCCCCGCACTTAAAAATAGTGGCAGGGGTGCTTAAACTAAAGCTCATTTGATGATCTTTAGTTCAAGCACCCCCCACCATCATTTTTAAGCATGGGGATGCTGATACATGAGACACAGGAGGCTGCTGGAGTGCAGTAATTACTACACTCCAGCAGACTCGATTCACGGAGTCTGCTCTGATATGCTGTAATTCCAGCGCATCAGAGCAGCCTCCATGCTTATGTACAGGTACCCTTCATTGTGAGGTACTAGAAAAATGTGCATTAGCCTATTTTAATGTACATTAACTTAAGAACACTTTTTTGTGATACTTTAATGCACAGTAAAATAAGCTAATGCACATTAAATTGCATGTGTAGATGCATCCTAAGCTACTGGGCCAAAAGGTAGGAGTGCCCTCCTGCCAAATGCTTGCTACTCACAGTTTTAATGCAGCAAACATTTGGGGATTTACACACATCCCCATGTCATTCTGTTCC